AACATAATTTAAGCGGCACTCGCGAAAAAAAATTGTGAACTGCGATATGACTTTGTAAGGTTTACTACAAATGAATGGGGTAGAATAAAAACTACTTCTCGAAAAATGTTTAAACACGAAATCTAAAAAAACTTTCAATGAAAAGTGAACCAATTTTTTTTGTCCAATTGAAGTGAACCAAAAATATTTTGTTCAATAAAAGTGAACCTAAAAAACATTCGATTTAGCGTATTTCACACAAAATAAACCGAGTGAATTTTTTTGGTTCACTTTTATTGAACCAAATTTTTTGGTTCACTTCAATTGGACAAAAAAAATTGGTTCACTTTTTATTGAAATTTTTTTAGGTTTCGTTTTCAAATACCAATTTTTCGAGAAGTAGTTTTTATAACCCCATTCAAATATTCCTTCAAAAACAACTTGCACGTATACAACTCACACCAATATTCCTATATATTTTAACACGTACAAGTTGTCCATAGATTTTATTCATGTGTGTTGTTTGGATGAGTGTGATTGAATAATGTTTTGAAATACCAAATACCAAAATACAAAACATTCATTGCGACGTAATATCCATTCAGTATAATTTCATCTCCAACACAGAACGTTGGTTGCGTCGCCGATTTAACGCAGAGTACATATAATACGAAACAAAACATAGATCAGTTTAAATCAAAAAAGGGGTGTTGGGTGCCGATTATTTTACTATTAAAACGAAAAATATTCATTATATTTACGTTGTATGTATTTTTATTTAAAAACAAAGAAAAATCACATTTTTGTCGATCAATTTATTTTAGTGAAATTTGACTTAAAATAACAACAATTTCATCATAACGCGTAACGTTGAATTGAATTGTTGACCGGTCACCGGTGTGTTCAAGTTTTTCAAGTTGTCGAAGTTAAAATAAAAATCCGGGAGAAAAATAAATATCTGAACAATGGCTAAACAATTCACGTTTTGTGGATATGATCAACAGATGCCATGCGATCTACGAAAGTTTCAAAATTGTCCCGACGATCGTATCGCAATTATAAAATATTACTACACTATTATTGCATCGAAAAAGATTCGTGGAAATTCGAATTACGCTCTTAATTTAAGCATTCATGATACAAAATGTGACTTTGATGAGCCAGTTGTGGTCCGCGTATCAATCGAAGATGGAAATGATAGAAATGGCTATAAAATTCATCGTGATGTTACAATCAAAGCAAAAACAACCGAAATTGTTTCGATTCCAATTGGTGATCTGTCACCCGAAGCAGACTATAAACTCGTTGTGATAGGTATTACTGGTGTTACTATGCGACACGAAGTAGAGCTGGATCTTCAAACTGAAACACATACAATTCTCATTCAAACGGACAAAGCCATTTACAAACCAAATGACTGCATCAAATTCCGAGTATTGGTTCTAAATTCAGAGCTAAAGGCAGCCACAATCGATCAAAATGAACTGATTATTTCATTCGATGTAAGTGTTCAGTGTGTATTAGTTTTAGAATTTTCACTTTCGAGCTATATATTCTATGAGAAAAAATGTATATGTACGAAAATGGTGATAAAGACTGTTTGCGAAAAAAAAAATATTCAGTTGATACAGCAATTATTAACTAAGGCAAAAATGAATAAGAATGACGTGATATAGCCACAAAAATGATTATAATTTTCAAAATTCAACAGGCTGAAATTTTTACTGCGAAATATCTAGTGTTAAAAACATATTACGAAACACCCAGTACAAATCCGTCGAACAAGTCGACGATAGCGATTTGACAGGTGGACCACGCGAGAAACTATCAATCCCTATTAACAAAACTACACTTGACAGTTATTGTATTGAATTTTGTACGGGATTTATTTATTATATAAATATAAAAAAAACAATGTGAAATGTGAATAAAAAAGATAAAAAATTAATATCGTGACGAACTATGTAATAAAATAAATATTATAATTCAATTACTCAGCGGCTGTATTTTTTATCTTTTTTGTTCACATTCACATTCTTTTTATATATTTCTAAATAAATAAGTCTCAAACAAAATGTAATACAATAATTAATATATAACGTGCTTGACAGCAGATTTCGATAGGGACAACTAATGACATTTGTGATTTGACATCTCGGCCACGGTTTGGCCTGTCTGTTACGAAAGTTGAAATTGAGGAGTACACCCAAAATACTTGCCATATGAGAGTAATATATCTTCCGGATATGTGTAACAAGCATAATGCTACAGGCGACTACACAATCGGCCGTATTCATGTTGCTTCTGATACTAATATTTGGCTGAATATATTGCACCAAGATCCCTTGAGTTCGTTGTTGCCTGAAGAAAATTTCAATCATATTAATAGCATTGTGTTATAGCAATAAAAATCTATAAGTAATTTGTGATAATTAACATTTACATTCACGCAATAAGGATCCCTGCCGCAATATTATGAAAAAATGGAATGGCGTGAACACAATGCATGGTGTATTTTCGGGCGAATTTCAACTGTCAGACGTACCAAATTTCGGTGAATGGAAAATTACAGCTGCCGTTGGCGATCAGGTTAGTTCGATTTTTTTAGAAATTAGTTTACAGACATTTTGACAATGAGCTAGTCGACGCAGAAATCATGGAACGAAGCTAAGACAACAGCCAGCAATCGTTGAAGATGGAAATCCTTATCTGAGGCCCTATACTTTAACTCCACAAGGAGTTAAAGGACAAAAAAAATCATTTGTGGTACCAATCTCGAATTAGTCTTAGTCACATAACGAATGATTTGATTCCTTATTCGCCGAATAAGGTACGAATGCAATGAGAGGAATCAGCAACATAAACAATAAAATGAATTAAAAGGCAGTGATGCAAACCGGTTTGTCATTGTTTCTCATACCGATTTCGGATGGAACAAGCGGAACGTTCCGAAATGGTTTGTATGGCGAACATACATTCACGCTATGTATACGTGAATATCGATGCTTTGAATGTATGAGTGTACAACGTTGCTGCTATGCACAAAGTACAGCGCATTGCAGACCATTTTTCGAACGTTCCGATTGCTTCGGTTTTGTTTCAAGTGAAATCCGTATCGCTGAAGTGTTATTATTTGCTTTTATGTTTCTTTAACCTTTACTTTAAATATAAAAAATGAGGTAAATCTTCTAGAAAAAGCTTAACTCATATAAAACCATTCGATCTCCATCTCTATAGATAAAAATAGCCGTAATTGAAGTGGCCGAATATGTTTTGCCCAAATTTGAGGCAATTATTGATTCGTCTGATAATTTTACAGTTGAAGATGAGAAGGTTCGTGCAGTGATCCGGACTAAATATACTCATGGCAAACCGTTAAGAGGATTGGCTACAGTCATAATCACCGAAGATGATCCGAACAGAGCTTTTGGCTTTTTCGAATTACAATCGAAAAAGAAGAAATCGAATGATGATGATAATTATTTGATGAAAAAATCTTTCAATATCGATGGCAAAGAAACAATTGAGGTTGACATTAAAAAAGAATTGAAATTTGACATAAAGTGGTCTGATGTGAAAAATTACAAAATCAAAGTTGAAGTGACTGAAGGCCTAACGGGACTGACACAAACAGCCGATAAAACGATCAAAGTCCACAGGGATACCTATAAAATCACCAGGAATCTTAAAAATCGACCACAACGCGATGCTCCCTGCGACATTAAGGTATGTGCTAATGTCAAATTAAAATGTTAATATTTTTAAATCGTTTTTTTTTTAATTTCGTGTATTGAATGTATAGATTTCTGTGCGAAAAAATAATGGCACGACGCTCACGTTCCTCGATCCAAAGAAAAAAAAGATCAAAGTGTTCATAGAACATATTCAAATTCATGAATTTCCCCTGAATACGTTGTGGAACAAAAATATAATAGAAAGCATTTATGAATTGGATGAGAGCGGTGATGCTAATTTTACGGTGGATGTTGGTAAGAATGATATTGAATTTTCATTGAAGGTAAAGACATCAATTTTCCGTCGCACATTTCTTCCTTTTAATTTTTTTTTTCATTTCTTTAATCATACATTTTTGATATCTATTTAGGTGAAATATTGCGGTCAAGAAACAAATATGGGAATGTTCCATGTTGATACATCAGTCACGGTAGCTCCACGCATTACTTTGCAAGCGAAAGTCTTAACGCCAAAGTAAGTTGAAATATTTAAAAATGTGGTTTTCGATTGATGAATATCCTCTCTGTTTGAATCATTTGCTTAGCTGCTCCATCAATAAATCAATCGAAATCGAGGTCATCTCACACTATCCCCTTCCATCATATACTTATCTGATCGTTTGTCATGGGAAAATCCTCGAAACGAATACCTTCGTATCTTTCTTGGCTGACCCAGTTGACACTGAATATAGACATCGATTCACAATCATGCCCACTTTTGATTATGCACCACAGGCTCAAATTATCGTTTACTGTGTGAGAGATCGCGAAATTGTCACGAGCACTGTAACACTTGACCTGCACGACGATTTAAAAAATTACATTGAATTAGATGTTGCAAATACGGCTAAGCCTGGCGAAATCGTTGATATTAATGTAAAAAGTAATCCACATTCATATATCGGTTTGCTTGGCATCGATAAGAGTGTAATGATTTTACGTGGTGGAAATGATTTGACACATGATGAAATCTGGAAGGAATTGAAAATATCTCGTTCAAAGGTTAAACGACGAAGATACAATTCAACAAGACATTGGCCTCATTCCGGTGCATTGCAAGATTTTGAAGTAAGCAGACAATATTTTTTATCTTTCTTGTGTTTATCTTTATTTAATTAATAAAAATATTTTTGTGTTTCTTTTCAAAGAGAGCAAATCTAATCACGCTTACAAATACGATTGAACCGACCCAAAACATATATGAATATATGCCAATGAGTGCTACAGTAAGTGCCGGAGCGGAATGTTACGGAAATTTTATAGAAAAGAGTCACATGAAACCAATTATTCGCAATGATTTTCCAGAAACGTGGGTTTGGGATTCGATTACGGACAAGAGGTATTTTTTATTTAGCAATATTTTTTCTAAGCTTTGGCGCTTTTCAAAAGTATTTAACTTGTGATACTTTATAAACATCGATTTCAGTTTCAATGGGTCGCTAAATCTCAAGCGAAAAGTTCCTGATTCTTTAACAACGTGGGTGTTAAGCGGTTTTTCAATCTGTCCAATCAATGGTTTGGCATTAACGAAAAAACCATCGGAACTATGTGTTCAACAGCCCTTCCATGTTTCGCTTAATTTACCATTTTCAGTGAAGCGTGGTGAAGTTCTAACGGTTCCGTGCTCAATTTTCAATTATTTACCAAATCAAATTGAAACCGAAATCATTTTCGAAAATGAGCACAATGAATTTGAGTTTGTGGATGCAAGTGTCGATGATAAAATCTATCCAGAAATTAGAAAACAAACATCTCGCAAAAAGAAACTGATCATTCTTTCTGATGATGCGATGAACGCATTCTTCACCATTCGTCCGACCAAAGTTGGTGTGATTTCGTTGAAAGTGTCAGCCATATCTGAAACAGCAAGTGATTGCCTGATCAAGACACTGAATGTTGAGTGTGAGGGTGTGCCACAATTCGTGAATAAGGCCGTATTTGTGGATTTACGTGAAAAATCTCAAATCGAACCAATCGATGTGGCAATCGAAATTCCAAAAATTGCACTGCCCGATTCAACGCGCATTGAAATCACTTGTGTGGGCGATTTACTTGGTGGCACCATCAAGAACTTACAATCACTGATACGCATGCCGTTTGGCTGTGGCGAACAAAATATGTTAGTTTTGGTGCCGAACATTGTTGTTTTGAATTATCTAAAAAACACGCTCCAACTAAACGCCGAGATCGAAGCAAAAGCAAAGAAATATATGGAAATTGGATATCAACGAGAATTGAGCTACAAACACAAAGACGGTTCATTCAGCGCCTTTGGAGATTCGGATGAAAGTGGCAGCACGTGGCTCACAGCGTTTGTAGCCAGATCTTTCCGACAAGCAGCTGAACACATTACCATTCAAGATGATATTATTGACGAGGCGCTGAAATGGTTGAGTGAAGCACAATCTGAAGACGGTAGCTTTGCAGAGAAAGGAAGCATTTGCCATAAGGAAATGCAGGCTGGATCTTCCAATGGTGTTGCACTAACAGCCTATGTTTTGACAGCATTTTTGGTGAACAAGGTTTGTGTCCCAACATAATTTACTGTATAGCTTGGGAATAATAATATATTGCTCATTTTTTCTTACATTTTAGAGTTCAAACAATAATTTTGAGAAAACAATCGAAAAAGCAATCGACAATATAATCAAGTCGATTAAGAACTGTTCAGATGTATACGCATTGGCTGTATCGGCGTATGCTTTGGAATTGGCTGGTCATGATTCCAAGAAGGATGTGTTGGTAGCTCTGAAGCAACTGGTTAAATCCAACGGTAAATATAACTTTACACTTGAATTTTTTTTACATGTTTTGCATTCTAAATGTTCTTCTATTTTACAATCAGAGAACTATAAATGGTGGGATAAATCGATTGAAATCAAAGATTGGTATCGCGATTCAAAAACACTAAGCGTTGAAATAACTTCATATGCACTACTGACATTGATGTTGAATGATGAAGACGAATGCCTTCCGATTTTGAAATGGTTATTGACTCAACGTAATGACATAGGTGGATTCGAAGGAACGCAAGACACAATTGTAGGCATCGAAGCATTGGCCAAATTCGCTTCAAAAATTGCTACCAAAGACACAGATATGAAAATTACTATTGAAGCACCAAATACCATCAATTTCAATGTCAACAAAGACAATGCATTGACCCTTCAGTCCCAAAAGGTTTGTATCTTTTTTTATTTCAGTCATTTTCTGCTTTTTGGCAATAAATTAAATTTGAAATTTTTTCAATTCCTTCAAATCAGTTGGCTCCAGACGCCGATTCGGTGCGCATAAAGGCGAGTGGCAAAGGATTTGCATTATTGGAAGTTGGATATCGTTATAACATCAATACACCGGAAACCGTAACCGCATTTTCGCTGAAACCAAGTGTTAAACTGCTGGGTGATGATCACATCACTCTTGAAATCAACACCAGTTATAATCCGCCCAAAGGCAAGGATTCATCGAAGCATTCGAATATGGTAATAGTAGAGGCAGAATTACCAAGCGGTTTCGTTGTCAATGCAGAAGTGCTAAATAGACTTAAGTCAACTCTACCGATTCTCAAGCGCATCGAAACGAAAAACGCTGACACTGTGGCCGTTTTCTATTTTGATCATCTCTCCTCCGAACCAGTTACATTTAAAATTGATGGCTTCCGAGAGCATATTGTTGAGAACCAAAAACCAGCTTCCATTTTGGTTTACGATTATTATGATGATGGTAAGCATTTGTCTATATAGATTTTGAATAATCGTGGTGGTTTTAAAATGATTCATTTTTTTCTCTGTTCTGCAGCTTTGAGTACGCGTGAATTTTACTCTTTGCCGGTTAAGATGGAGGTTGATGCCTAAAAGTGTGTGAATCACATGAAATTTACCTCAATTTATCTCAAAAACCGCACAAATACTAATTAATCATAATAAAACTACAATAGTAGACCAATTTAGGAATTCTTTTTTAGAAAGAATTAATTTTTTGTGTGACAATAATGTCTTACAGCTCATGCTTTTTACAAATGTTAAACATTAAAAATTAAAAAAAAATAATGTCTTTATAGAATATATAATATAATATATTGTTATACGTTTTGTGATTTTATTTGTTTAAATTGTCACTTTCAATAAAAGAACCACCAAACCAAAATAGTTATGCTTCTTCCTTATAACAAACAAACAAACACCGAAAATAAACATTATTAAGGGTTGGATCGAAGTAACCGTAAATCGCCGTAAATTAATAGAAGAACATTTGAAATCTTATTGTGAATGTGTTCGTGAACTTTCGCTTCTATGCTTATGCTTCTATTTCGCTTCTTATATACCAACATAATTTAAGCGGCACTCGCGAAAAAAAATTGTGAACTGCGATATGACTTTGTAAGGTTTACTACAAATGAATGGGGTAGAATAAAAACTACTTCTCGAAAAATGTTTAAACACGAAATCTAAAAAAACTTTCAATGAAAAGTGAACCAATTTTTTTTGTCCAATTGAAGTGAACCAAAAATATTTTGTTCAATAAAAGTGAACCTAAAAAACATTCGATTTAGCGTATTTCACACAAAATAAACCGAGTGAATTTTTTTGGTTCACTTTTATTGAACCAAATTTTTTGGTTCACTTCAATTGGACAAAAAAAATTGGTTCACTTTTTATTGAAATTTTTTTAGGTTTCGTTTTCAAATACCAATTTTTCGAGAAGTAGTTTTTATAACCCCATTCAAATATTCCTTCAAAAACAACTTGCACGTATACAACTCACACCAATATTCCTATATATTTTAACACGTACAAGTTGTCCATAGATTTTATTCATGTGTGTTGTTTGGATGAGTGTGATTGAATAATGTTTTGAAATACCAAATACCAAAATACAAAACATTCATTGCGACGTAATATCCATTCAGTATAATTTCATCTCCAACACAGAACGTTGGTTGCGTCGCCGATTTAACGCAGAGTACATATAATACGAAACAAAACATAGATCAGTTTAAATCAAAAAAGGGGTGTTGGGTGCCGATTATTTTACTATTAAAACGAAAAATATTCATTATATTTACGTTGTATGTATTTTTATTTAAAAACAAAGAAAAATCACATTTTTGTCGATCAATTTATTTTAGTGAAATTTGACTTAAAATAACAACAATTTCATCATAACGCGTAACGTTGAATTGAATTGTTGACCGGTCACCGGTGTGTTCAAGTTTTTCAAGTTGTCGAAGTTAAAATAAAAATCCGGGAGAAAAATAAATATCTGAACAATGGCTAAACAATTCACGTTTTGTGGATATGATCAACAGATGCCATGCGATCTACGAAAGTTTCAAAATTGTCCCGACGATCGTATCGCAATTATAAAATATTACTACACTATTATTGCATCGAAAAAGATTCGTGGAAATTCGAATTACGCTCTTAATTTAAGCATTCATGATACAAAATGTGACTTTGATGAGCCAGTTGTGGTCCGCGTATCAATCGAAGATGGAAATGATAGAAATGGCTATAAAATTCATCGTGATGTTACAATCAAAGCAAAAACAACCGAAATTGTTTCGATTCCAATTGGTGATCTGTCACCCGAAGCAGACTATAAACTCGTTGTGATAGGTATTACTGGTGTTACTATGCGACACGAAGTAGAGCTGGATCTTCAAACTGAAACACATACAATTCTCATTCAAACGGACAAAGCCATTTACAAACCAAATGACTGCATCAAATTCCGAGTATTGGTTCTAAATTCAGAGCTAAAGGCAGCCACAATCGATCAAAATGAACTGATTATTTCATTCGATGTAAGTGTTCAGTGTGTATTAGTTTTAGAATTTTCACTTTCGAGCTATATATTCTATGAGAAAAAATGTATATGTACGAAAATGGTGATAAAGACTGTTTGCGAAAAAAAAAATATTCAGTTGATACAGCAATTATTAACTAAGGCAAAAATGAATAAGAATGACGTGATATAGCCACAAAAATGATTATAATTTTCAAAATTCAACAGGCTGAAATTTTTACTGCGAAATATCTAGTGTTAAAAACATATTACGAAACACCCAGTACAAATCCGTCGAACAAGTCGACGATAGCGATTTGACAGGTGGACCACGCGAGAAACTATCAATCCCTATTAACAAAACTACACTTGACAGTTATTGTATTGAATTTT